GTTGAGAGAGACTTCCGCAGGAAGCCGGATAGTCCCCATCGGCCAAGACAGCAGCGGAAGCAGAGACCAAAGAACTCACGGTGCTGAAACCGAACAAGACCGCCAAGACTTGGAGCCTATCACATAGAGAGCGTTTGTTGAGGGATCAGTGAGAGGATTGGATAGTCGCATCGGTGTGGTGCTCCGGATGTCGGTCGGGCAGGGTCGAGTCGACTGTGGGACGATGAGAGTATACCCTGCAAGTCTTAGTAGGTATGATATTAATAGCCATTGCCAAGTTCATGTGGGGTCTGGATGAGTGATGAAGGGTAGTTACTGAATTGCTGATTGCAAAAAAGAGCCAATGATATTAGGGATATGAGAAAGATTGGCCCATGTTTTGCGTTGAATTGAAGAGAGAAAAGAATACAAATATAGGAACAGGTGGAGGCCTGAATTAGACCACCACCCCCCCTACCGCGCCCGTTGCCACGTGTCGCGCCTTAGGGTGACCCTCTAGTGGGGTGACCCCAGGGTGACTCCCAATGCCACGCTGCTTGCCTAGAGTTTGCGCTGAAAACTCCAAAAAAAAAAAGCAAAAAACTTGTTTTTTTGACCAACTGGGAGGTGATCCCAGTGTACCCCACTGGGGTCCAAAGCTTTATTCTATTAGTTAATGAGTTGTTGTCTAGCCGGCTTTGGATGGTTCTTTTGTTTTCGTTCTTTAGTTTTTGAGAATGGCAACAATAGGAACAATCTAATTCTAATCTAATCTAATTCCAGAGAGTTTGGGAGGACGGCCAACAACACAAAGCTTGAATAGGTAAGCCAAAATAAAAAAAAAAAAAAAAACACTTATATATAGGTTCTCTAAGAGTATCTTCAATGGTTGTTGCTATATTAGGATTGCTATTGTTATAATTTAGTAATGAATAGTGTTATTTTGTCAAATTATAGCAATGGTGCTCTAATGGTCATTTGCTATTTTTGACAAATCTCAACCAACTTTTTCCTCCAACTTTGTAGGTGTTGTTTGGATATAGGTTTTTTGTGATTTTATTTTTGTTTATTTTTTTGTCATTTGTGACATTTTTTTACCTGTTTGTTAAAAAAATTATATATTTATATTATTCCCAACTAAACAAATATAAAAAATTAAAAAAAATGAAAAATTGAAAGAAAAAAAAATTGTTTGATTAATTCACCCCAAACAAATATTGTAATTTTATATATTTGTTTGAAAAATTTGTTGGGCTCTTTTATATATTTGTTTGAAAATTTTGTTTAAAAGAGCTGTTGTAAAAAATTTATTGTAATTTTTTTTTTTTTAACAAACCAAACAGAACCTAACGGCTCTTTAGCTCTTTATTACACTATTGAAATATATATGTTTTGATCAAGACAGATCAAAGCATCACTCTCTTCTCACTCTTCTCCTCCACGGCTCTTCCTCTCCCTCTCATTCTCACTCTTTCTCCTCCATGGCCGAAATCAAACATAGCACAAACCAAACCAAACAGAGCACAAGATCGGAACCCCCTCCTCTATGATCTCCACCAAGATCGGAACCCCTTCTCCTCCATGATCTCCTCCATGATCGGAACCCGATCTCCCCCTTCTCCTCCAAGATCGAAACCCCCTCTCTCCGGTTCACTATGCCTCCCTCTCAATCCGCACCTCCGATCTGTGTACTCTCCGGAATAATGGTACGATCTCCATCTATATACATACTCATATATATATATGTGTGTTTTGATTTGTCTTCATATATATATATATGTATCAATTTTTTAATTTTGTCTTGATCTCCTTCTATTTTGATTTTTTTTTTTGATTTGTTCCTTCATCAATATATATATATATATGAATTTTTTAATTTTTTAATTTGATTTGTCTTCAATTTTGTTATATCTGTCATGAACAATTTTTTGATTATCCGGTATACAGAAATTTGCATTGATATATATGTTTTGATATCTGAAACTGAAATTTGCTTGATTATGAAAATTGGGTCTCCAATGGTCTGATCTTTGTTGATCTGGCAAGCTTGGCATCTGCCATTTCACTTGCCAAATTTGAGAACACATATGGCAGCTGCCATCTTTGGCAAGTGAAATAGCAGACCGTTGGAGACTCATTTTTGCCATACCTGTCATTTTTTAACTTTAGCAACTAATATAGTAGAACTATTGGAGATGCTCTAAGTGGGCTTATTGTTAAATAGATCTTATGATAATTAATAAAAAATTTCATCAAATACTTGTTGTTTCCATTTTTCAAAAAACACTTTTCAGAAAATTCTACTTTCTTATTTTTCGTATTTTTTTGTTTTTACTGAATTTTTTTAATATTTTAAGCAATTTTTTTATTTTTTAGACACATCTAACATAAATATACCTAAAAAGTAAAAAAATTGTAAAAAAAATATTTTAAAAATTCACTAAATACAAAAAATAAAAAAAAATACAACAATTCAGTACATATTTTGTATTTTTATGTATTTATTAAAATTTTAAAATATTTTTTCACAAATTTTTTACTTTTTAGATACATCTAAGTAATGTGCATTTAAAAAAGTAAAAAAAATGTTCAAAATTTTAAAAATATTCACTAAAAACAAAAAAATCAGAAAATTCAAACCAAACACACTTGATTAGAAAATGTCACTACTTATTAATTTTCAGTGATAATTTAAAAAATTTATCACAAAAAAGTAATTATAAGTTTTACCAACAATTTAAAGAATCATAAAAAACAAACGCCCCTAATTTTGAATTTTAAGTGACAATTTAAAAAATTTATCACAGAAAAAGTCATTAATTATAAATTTTAAGAATAATTTATAAAAATCGTAAAAAAATCACTAATTATTAATTTTTATTTTTAGTGACGTGCAAAAAATCATTATAAAAAATTACTTTTAATAATAATTTTATTAAAATTTATTTTCAATAGGATTCGATTGAAATGAAATCCACCTATTATGATCTATTTGTAGTTTAAAAAAAAAACAACAATGATTCATCCCCCTTTTCCCCCCACCCCCTTTGACCCCCTCTCTCTCATTGGTTACTTTTTCTTTTTCTTTTTCTTTTTCTTTTTTTTCCTCCTCCTTCAATCACCACCTGCCACGTGGCAAAAGGGATGTGAGGGGGTGACCCCCAAAAGGGGGTCCCAAGCATTATTCAAAAAAAAAATAGACGTCGGTTGGATTTAAATTCTGATTGTGGGACCGACGCCTTTTTGTTTGGATGCTGATAAATGATACTCTCCGGCTAAACAAGGAGGACCAAGTTTAGCCAAATGTCCCCAATTCGTGATCAAAATTTGGTAGGATTTTTTTATTTTGAAAAATAAGAATAATGAAAAGTTTGGAAAGGCTTTTCAATTTCAATTTTATTTTATTATTATTATTATTATTATTTTTTTTATAGATTTGTTCAATTTCATTTTCATCCTAAAGCAGATTTTATAAAGTACCTTAAGAACACTTTTGATTATTGGATATTAATGTGATTATTAATAAGAATGTAAAGAATAAGTTATACTGTGAGATTAGATAAGATGAATGATTGATAAAATTATGACGAATCACGTGATATCTAAACATGATTAAAAAAAATTGAATAGAGAAAATAAGGTATTATATGTATTTGGTTTGAATACATTTTATGAAGAAGAATTTAATTCAAATAGGCCTAATCACTGAAATACTACAATTCTTAAAATATTATTTTACCCCTATTTTTTTTAACTTAATCTTTCATATCCGTATTAAAATTATTTAGAGTTTTATTACTGTATATGGGATGCTATCTTCCACATTTAATCCTCTCCTTGGTATTATTTTTATCGTGGACACGAACTATCTCCTCTTCCAAATCCCCTTGTCCCATTATTAAACATGCACTAAAAGTATTACCTAAAATATAGTACGTTTTGAGAAAAAAAAAAAAAAAAAAACTTTCTCGAAAACAATATTCAAAAACCAGTTTGTCACAATTTTTTCATGTGAAATTTCATTTTCATTAACACAAACAATTAAAACAACAGCAAACGGGCCCTAATTGATTTTTTTTTTCCTTTTTCAAGAACATAACACAATTTAAAAAAACGACCATGCTACGTAGCTCGAAACCGCGGCTCGACACCAAAACGACGTCGTTTTGGTGTCGAATTTTTTTTTTTAGCCGCGGTTTCGAGTTACGTAGCATGGTCGTTTTTTTAAATTGTGTTATGTTCTTGAAAAAGGAAAAAAAAAATCAATTAGGGCCCGTTTGCTGTTGTTTTAATTGTTTGTGTTAATGAAAATGAAGGGAGAAGAAGAGAAGGGAGGAGGAGGGAGGGGAGGGGGCCATAAAAACCGGTTGGAGGAGGAGGGGAGGCTGGGTAGATGACGGTGGTGCTGCGACGTCGGCGGGACTGGGCAGACGACCGGGGCTGGGCGAGGCGACGGTCTGCTGCGACGATCGGCGACGACCCACGGTGACGAGCCCTCTCCTCTCTCTTTCTCCCTCTCTCCTCCTCTTCCCTCTCTTTCTCCCCTCTTCTTCCATTTTCGAGCCGTTTCGAGCTACGAGACATTTTCGTTAAAAAAAAACAATACCACATGACATACAAACCACCCATCCTAACACTGCCTTGTGTGTTCTTTTTGAGATTGTGTATAGTTTTCTTTTGGAATTTGGTGTGAATTTTGAGCATTGATTTTTATTTTTTGTGTGCAGATAATGTTAATTCCTCTAAACCAAAAGCTAGGTTTTTTTTTTTGGACAGAAGCTCATGGAGAGAACATGATTGACAAAAAAGATGTTGATACAAGATTGCCAAGGTTGGTTTATGTGTCTTGGAAGAAGGAGCCTGATTTTGAGCTATGAATTAGACTTTTTAACTTATAAATATTGCATTTGCATTGTAACCGTTTAACTTTAAAATTGTATTAACTGCTTAAGGTTATTGCCATTTGTGTTAGAGTTATAACCCCTCTTATTCCTTTTCTTCTTCTTCTTCTTCTTCTTCTATCTTCTCTTTCTCTTTTCTTCTACTGCGCTCTACATCAATTGCTCCCGAAGGTTTTAGTCCACCTAGAGCCATAGAACACCAAGAGCGGGTTGGTAGAAGAAAAAAAATTAATAAAATTCTCTTTAAATGAGAATTTCATTTTTCCTTCTAGAGTATAGAATAGAATTTTATGGGCTGCTCATGCTAGAGGGAACTTGTTTTGCCCCCTTGGCCCATCTTTTAAACTCTATTGGATATCTATGGAAAGAAAACAATAATAATGGGCCAGTCTCCATCTCACATTTTTAATTTCAAAAAATGATTTATAGAGGACACTAAAGCCCAAATAAGACCGAGGAATAAGAACAAAATTTATAGATTATTTGCAAATACTTCCACAAAGCTTCATTTGAGTTTTTATCCTTTGTTTAATGATGCTATAATCTTTGCTCAAAAAAAATTTAAAAAATTCACTTGTTTATTGGGCAAGTAGAGGATTGTTTCACCCACATATGCATATGTCATTTGGCGAGGCCCCACATGTTTAGTAGGTAGCACTAGTGTTTGTCCTCTTCAAAGGAGCAGTTAATTATAATAGTTTTTAATTAATTTTTAATTAAAAAGTTAATCGTAATCATGTTTCCAAAATAACTCAAGGTTACATATAGCAAAGCTTGTGAATGTAGACCCTGGTCGCTACATATACAAATCTATGTATGTATTAAGATATGAAAATTCATTAAGTAGTTTCAACTTTCAATTATTATTTATATAATATTTTTGAGAAATAAGAAATCACAAAACACACATCGTGGGTCATTTATTATATTTCTCAACTATTTAATAAAGTTTTTTTTCTTATTTAAGAGTATCATATAAGTAATGTTACATAATATTCTATACATTCAATAAGTAATCATTTGTCTACTAACTATCTAATAAAAATAAGTTAACATGTCATATTGAGAGGGTAATTTGTAAATAAATTGGGCTGAGCTAGGAAGAGTCTTCTTTGGGAGTTGGACCACGTAACGGGCCGAGATAAAGGCTGGTGTAGCTCGGTCTTAGGCCAAGAAGACATCTCATATTTTGGGTTTGGACCGAACTATGGATCGAGGTATCGGTAGAAAGAGGACCGAGCTAAACGATAGCTCTGCAGGGCGTCATCTCAAAGTCAAAACTGGTAGTAATGCTTAAAGCATCACAGAGCCGAAATAACTTGGCTGACCGCAATGTTAGCCGAGGTAAAGATATCAGCTGAAATAAGTGGGCCTGGTGGTTAGCCGAGGTATTGGTGAGAAAGGATGTCAGGGCTTGGTATAACTCGACCGGTCTTGGTATAACTCGGTCGGGCGCCATTTACATCATTACTTAAGTGTGTGACCGAGGTAACTTAGCTCGGTGTGGTTGCAGCAGCTTATTAAAAGGAGGTAGCATCAATGGCGAGGGCCGAGCTGTGTATAGCTCGGCAGGGTGGCATCCGTTAGATCGACTTTCGACCACACGGTCCGAAGGGCAGGGGACCAAGATAAAGCAGTTCGGGCAGGAATGTATAACCGAGGTAAAAGGTTCAGCCATCTCACTTGGCTTGCAGTGATGAGACTCTTAGTAGGACTCTGCTGAGGAGAGTTAGAGTCCTATTGCGATTGTGTAAACCATCTCACTTGGTTGGTAGTGAGTAAGGTGTGTGATTCCTAGGAGGACTCTCATAGGGAGAGTTGGAATCCTTCTAGGATTGTGCCAAGTAAAGTCTATAAAAGCTCATGATCAGACCTATGTAGAGGTATCCCAATTCTTACTCTAGAATACACAGAGCTTATTGTCTATTGTCTAGTTGCTGACTTAGGCATCGGAGGGGTTTCCGGTACACACCCGCCGGTTAGCTCACGTTTGTATTTTCAGGTGGCAAAGCAACATTGTTTGGAGGAGCGCAAACTTGATCAACAGGATTATACGAGAAGGTTTATTTCTTTCCCGTACACATATCTACAAAAAAATTCATTGGGAATTGTACATATCACTTGTATTTTTTCATTTTTTTTCAATTTCATAACAAGATATTGTTTGTTTTTATTAACTACATAATAATTATCTTACGGGTTCTAACTTTTTTGAGCTTCAAAGTGAACTCTAAATATGGAGCCTTTTATGTATATTAAAAAAAATTGATCAAAAGATTATGTATCAGATTTGTTTTAAATTTTTGCATTTAATAGTGCTCATAAAAAGACAATTAAAATTTATTTAAATATATAACAAAGTTTACAATAATAAAAAAAGACTAAAATATAAGTTGAAGTGCCAAATAAAAAATAAACTAAGGTCTCGTTTGACAATTTATTATTTAAAAAAAAAACCCCAACAAATATAAAAAAAGTTACTAAAAGATTCTTTTCCATTCAGTCTACTTTTTACCTATCTTTTCTTAACAAATCAAAAAATCATCCCAAATATATTAGTTTTTATCATTTCATATTTTAACAAAAAACCTAAAAGTCACTAAAAAACATGTTCTCGAACGAGGCTTAAGTCTTCTATTATTTGTTTCTTTTCTTCTTTTTTTTTTTTTCCTTTTTTATTTATGTCCAAAATTATACTTTCTAGGAATAGTGACATTTTTGATATAGTGTATCAAAAATTATTAACATCATCATAATGCTAACTTAATCCTTAATCATTACAAATCAAATAATCAATTAAAGGAAACATAAAAAATAATAAAAATATATAATTGTAACAGACAAAATATATATAATCAATGATCAAATAAATATTTAATCAAACAAAAATAAGAATTCATCTCTATTATAAAGTTTGTATCTTGAAATGCAAATTTATATTACAATTTTGAGACTTTCCATCATACCTGAACAAATAAAAAAACAGAAGAAAAAAAAAATCAATACATAAAAAGCTAAAAAATATGATAATTCTTTAATTAAATTTTTTTTTAAAATTAAATGAATACTTCTAATTCTTATTGCTGACAGAAACCAACTGATAAAAACTTTAATTTAATTTAATTATATCTCAAATATAAATTGAGAGCATCAAAATGTTGGGTCTCTTTATTCAGATTGTGTCTCTTCTTATAAGAAATTTTAGATCTTTCTAACTCAAGTGAGTATTTTTTTTTGTTTTTGTTTTTTTCTCAACCAATACCATACTTACTATAATTTTGATACCTTTTTTTGACATTTTATAAAAGCGCTGCTTTGCGGGTTTTGCCCCCAAAGCCGGTCAGGTAGGAGGTAATATAAAACAATGATATAAGCTCTTTTTGTTTTGTTTTGTTTTGTTGATACAACTGAATAATTAACCAGTAATTACCCATAAAATACGGTAAACAAGAAAAAGTGGGTAAATGAAACATAAATTATAATTAGTTTAAAATAATAAATTTTATATTTAAAAATATATTAATCCTATTTAAAATTGAAAAAATGCTTGGGACCCCTCTTTTGAGAACCCCACAACCCTCTTTTAATCTCAACCATTGATATATGTATAGGACTTACTCATAGAGGATCCACATCATTAATGATTGAGATTCAAAAGAGATCGTGAAGATAAAAAAAGAAAAGAAAAGAATCTTAATCATTGTTGAATTGTAGGTTCGTCAACAAGTAGTGGTGGTGGGACATCGGTTCTCAAATGGTGCCATCAAACTCTGATCAATGCAATTGGGCTGTTTTCTAGCTGTAAAGGTTCCATAAGCCTCAATCTGTGCATCTTTTTTCCCCTTTGTACCTTTTTTCTCACATGCACAACTACAATTGACACCAAAAAAAAAAAAAGAGATGTATGTTTGTTTGAGCCCCTAAAAATAAGTGATGATGGGTCAACGTCTCAATGGGGATGGAGATCAGATGATACAAATCCAACAAAAGAGATATGTTTTGGATCTAATAGGCATTTCTTCAAATTAAAGACCCCCAATCCTAGCCAGTGGCAAATCACCATCACCAAACTGTTTTTCCTCTTTTGAGTTTGTTTAATTTTTTCTTTAATAATCGGGACAGTATCCTAAGCAATGGCCTTAGGCTCCATTTGTTTGGGATATAGGAAGGCGATTGGGATTACTAATATCTTGGTATTACTATTTGTTTTGAGAGATGACCTTGGGACTACTAATACCCTGGTATTACTAATACCCTTGGAAGGGGGATTTATAGTGAGGAGGTAGAGATGGTATTAGAAAAATAGTAAGTGGATTAAAAATTTTTTTATTATTTTTATTTTTTATATATTGAGAATTTTTTTTAAAATATTAATGTTTGATTTTTATATTTTTTTATTTGTTTTATTATTTTATATAAAAATAATTTAACAATTTCTCACTATTCATTCCCTCACTATTAATCCCCTTACTATCAATCCCCTCCATTCTATCCCTGAAAATAAACGGGGCCTTAGGGTCTACCCCAGGAGCTGCAGGATTATGGTATGAAATTGATATACCATGATCTTTTTTTTTAATATATAACCACAAGTTTTGGAGAAAATCAATTTGGAGATTTTGTTTCAGTTTGCAAAGAACTTGTTCTCAGTGGTCGATTGGTAATTGGCCTCTCTGAATTTTCATGACTTGCAGTCGCTCCTTGAGCAGTAGACGGGATCTCAATTTTAACAATTTTTAGTTTATTTATTTATTTTTTTTTTTTGAGATTGGAAACATGGCAATGGAAATTGTGAGAGATTGGGAGAGAAGCTCTCAATAAACCATTGTAGCTCTTTAAATACTTGTTCTGGTTAATAGTATCTCTTGAAAGGTTATCTTTGGATATAACATAGGCTGAACTACTTAGATTTCTTTTGGGAATCGGCTAAAAATCTAATTTATTGACAAAAAATAAATTAGGTCTCGTTTGATAATATTACTTTTTAGTCTAAAAGTAAAAAAATCACTAAAAAAATTAAAAAATTAACATATACTAAAAAGTCAAAGATTATCTTTTCTTTCTATTTTTTGTACATATTTTCGTAAAAAATTAAAAAA